CACCAAGCTCGATTTTTAGGGGCCAGACTTTTTGTCTACGTATAACGGCGTACTTTGTGAAAAGTCAGAATCCGGTGCCGTGCGTCGAAATTTAAAAAAATCGCCAAACAGAAAAATTAGGATCCTCTTTTTGAGGGGGTGGGGGCAATTTTTATGGGCCACGGTGGCGCAGAGCCTTCATTTTTTAGGCGCCATGACCGATTTTTCGGGCGCATCTGGCACGTTGGCGCCTGTGAGTTTTGGACACAGAATGCAAGGTGATAAACCCGTCGTTTTTTAGAAGGAATAACGTAAATACACTATGAATTTGCGAATTTTTTGCTCTCAAATTGTATTTTTTGAGGAAACTGTCAGACGTCTCTCATCGAGAATTTCACCGAGTTCTCCTCTGATTATACTTGAACGTCAGAGAAATTTTGGATGAATATTGCCCAGTCGTGTTTTTGTAAAATATCTAAATACCCAAGTCAACACTTGAAAAAAAACATATTGGATCTAGAGTCCAGACTCTTGAAAACATTGACAAGAAAAAATACTCTTGATTCAATCGGATTTTTGCTTGAATCAAAACGAAACCCGCTTAAATTAAGAGGCTTGGTTCTTGATTTAAGCTAGATATTAATTGAATCAAGAGTACTTATTCTTGTCGATGTTTTTAAGAGTCTGGATTCGACATTCAATGTGTTTTTTCCCAGTGAATGTTGCAATTTTGGAATAGAGTTATGTTCCCTCGTTCGGGAAACCGCGAGTCGCCGCGCCGGCTGTCTTCCCTCAAGTTCCCTCGATCACCGCGTCACTCGTAAGACTGATTCTCCTTCATCTCGATGGCTATGCAATTGTAGCTACTCTTGATTAGAATTTTTCTGATTGCGCTGTTGCTTTTCACTTTCCTTTTGTCTTCATCGTCTATCAATTTCTATTATCAGCCCGTTCCATAAGTTGTTCGCAGCAAGCGCTGTTTCGGCGTTTTGCTGAAATTAAATATCCTCCTAATAAATCCTCCTAAACGTTCTGTTGTAAAAAATTCAATTGCCCAGTTGAATTTGGCAATAGCTGATGTGACTTGGCTCCTTTCTGCTAAACTCGGTCTAATTGTCGCGGGTTGCATACGCAGCCCCTGAAAACCCCTCGAAATCTCATAAAAAATGAGTTTTCATTTTGCGGAAGAGATCACCCCATATTCGAAGAGGCTGTACTTGTTGCTGCGGCGGTGCGAGGAGAAACCCAATATCCGCCTTATTGCTCTCCGTACAGCGCTTCACCGCGCGCGCTTCTTTTGGCCATCCCTCCATTCCCTCCCGGTCATGACCCGTGCCGTGCGGAGCCTTATATGGGCGCCATGACGGGGGGCTGGAGGGCGGGGGGGCTGTTGGCTTTGCACCGTAACAGATTGCCGATCCATCCGAAAAAGGAAGGAATCCGTCATTACCGTTCCGCGCTCCAACTTATGATCTTACCTTACGCCTCCTCCTCGAGCTTTGCGGCATGCGGCACGTACCGTCGTACCGTGTTGTTCGGGTCCGGGTCCGGGTCGGGCAGCCCGAGGGTTGTCGGATCAACGGCGAAACACGGCCACGGCCGTATTCGTAGTCGGCCCTCCCCGCCTAACCCCGGTCTGACAGACTCGGGCCGTTGTTCAACTTCTCGAGTTAGGTCAGATAAAGTCGCATTGGAATTGGAAATCCGAAGTAATAGGTGGAGGGGAAGTTGAAAGAAAGAAGAAGACAACGACGACGATGGAAAGGAAGAGGAAGAAAGAGGTAGAAGAGGAAACAGAGGGAAAAGAAAAAGAAGACAAAGATGGAAAGGAGGAGGAAAAAAAGAGCACTGGAAAAAAAACACATTGGATCTAGAGTCCAGACTCTTGAAAACATTGACAAGAAAAAATACTCTTGATTCAATCGGAATTTTGCTTGAATCAAAACGAAATCCGCTTAAATTAAGAGGCTTGGTTCTTGATTTAAGTTAGATTCTGATTGAATCAAGAGTACTTTTTCTTGTCGATGTTTTTAAGAGTCTGGACTCTAGATCCAATGTGTTTTTTTTCCAGTGAGGTGGAAGAAAGAGCAGAGGAAAAAGAGGAGAGAAGGAAAATAAGAACTAGGAGATTAAAAAGGTGAAGCAGAGGAAAAAGAATAACATCCAAAAAAGAGGATAGAAGGGGAGATGAGTAGGAAAGAGCGAGGGGAAGGAAACGGAAGAAAGGGAGGAGGAGGAGGAGGAGGAGGAATACCAAAAACCCAAAGCAGAGAAGGAAGGATGGTAATAAGATAAAAAGGAGGCAGAAGAAGAATTTCAGGATAAGTAGAGGAAAAGAGCAAAAAAGAGGAAAGAGAAGGAGGAATAGTAACATAAAAAGAGGGAAGAATAATAAGGAGAAAAAGAGGAGGGAAACGAAGGGAATGGAATGAAAGAGGAGGAATGAAGAATAAAGGAAAGACGAAAGAGGAAGACGAATAAAATATATTTTTCCATCTCATTTTTCTCCTCCCTCTATGCTTTTTTCATTCTCTTCAGTATTCTTTTCTCTTCTTCCTCCTCCTCCTCTTCCTCTTCTTCTTCTTCTTCTTCTTCCTCCTTTCCCCCATAGTCTTATCACTCCTTTTTATCTTCCATTTTTCTTTTTTCCTATTTTCTTCCTCCTCTTTTCTTTTCGGGAGGACTCATTAAAGTGATTCCTTTTTTCGATGCTAAGTCGAGGGTCACTCCGAAATTCCCTCACTCTCTTACTCTTAATGTAAACCGAATGAGATGAGGAGGTGTATAAATCTACGGTCCCCCGTATGTTTTTCACTCGTCCGTCGTTGATTCGTTGGCGGAGAACTGCGGTGGCGACGGCGACAAATGGCCACCAGCAGAGATCTAACTGTTTCCTCGCTTCAAGTTGGGTCCTCGTTAGCGGGAAACCGCATAGCGCCACGACGACGACACGACCAGTGCCGAGTCGTGAATCATCGATAATGGGGTTTTCCGCATTTGAAGCTATGCTGAAGAATCGATTTTTAAGGTGTTACTTTTGAACACCCTGATGATCGATCCTTTTCCGTATGTTTCAATGACAGGTAAATCGATTCATCGCAAAGCACGCCACGCCTCTGGACGCGACGAGGAGTCATCCCTGTCACTCCATGCTCTGTTGCGTCATCAATCGCTCGCCGTATGATCATTCGAGAGTTGCCTAAATTCCTCCAATAAAATGTCTATTTTTGAGGCAAGTTATGAATATTTTATCTTCAAATTTGCAGATGATATAGATCTAATTACGAAGACAATTTTCTGAAAAATTGAACGGAATATATTCCCAAGTTTTCCTAATTCGCATTTGATCAAAGGAAATTTGGCAACTGACGAAGATTCATACGGTGTTTTTCCTCAGCACTCTAGTATTGGTCGGTGAAAAGTCGAATATCAGCCAATAAAGAGTTCTTAATTTTCCAATGTATGAAATAAGCGCGGACAAACCGATAAAAGGCACGGATTTTGAAAGGCCATCACAGGAACTTCACTGGGAAAAATTCACATTGGATCAAGAGTCCAGACTCTTAAACACATCGACGAGAAAAAGTACTCTTGATTCAATCAGGATCTAGCTTAAATCAAGAAGCAAGTCTCTTAATTTAAGCGGATTTCGTTTTGATTCAAGCAAAAATCCGATCGAATCAAGAGTATTTTTTCTTGCCAATGTTTTCAAGAGTCTAGACTCTAGATCCAATGTGTTTTTTTCCAGTGTTGGAATACTTACGGATTTTTTTTTTTTTTTGTGGAAGGGAAATTAGATAAGAGATTTTCGTGATTGGATAAGAAGGCTGTATCCTTTCGTCGGTAATTTTACCTGTTCGTTAGTAAAATTATCACCTGGTGATACGAATATCTTTTACACTGATAAGGGGCTACTAACAATCAAAGGGCTGGCAAGACAAGTGGAAAAAGTGCAGTTTTCTAAAAACATTTAGTTATTTATGATTTCAAGTAAATTTCCAATATACTCTTGGGAGAATTCACTATTAAAATCCAACTTTTAAGCATCAAAAAGTGGGTTTGAGCTTTCTTTCCGCCATTAGGCTCCTTGTAATTTTGGAACTTTCAACACGTATTTCTTGAAGTAGCAAAAACTGCCCATATCCTGCTTGACCTCCAAGCCCCTCATTTTAGGTACCTACATACAGATAAGTAGTTACCTTAAGGAAAATTCTATAATATGCATAGTATAATGGGTGCTTTAAGTATGCAGTGCCTTTGTAAGAAACATTCTACAAGGTAGCAGTATATCTTTTTTATCTAAATACCTACATTAAATAAATTGCATGGTTTAGAAGTTTTCGAATTTTACTGATCATTTAAACTTGTGTTGACTAGGAAATGTGTATGCCTTTTCTGCCCGATTTATCACAAACTTGTTTCTCGTTCTGAGCCACTTTTTAAAGTGCTCCTACAATTTTTAGTCCAGTTAATCTACCATTTTCCTGGGAAAATCAATAGATAAACGGTTTCTTTGCGGAAACATGTTGCAATACCAGAACAACATAACAAAAGTTTACCGGAATCGGCTGACAAGTGACCGCACTGTGTTTGGCGCAATGCGTGAAGTGTTCTCGCAGTCTTGTAGGCGCTAATTTTCGTTATGCGCCGACCAGCGACCGCACTCACCGCACTGAGTTTGGCGCAATGCGCGAAGTATTCCTGCAGTCTTGTAGGCGCTCCAATTTTCAAGCATTACAAAATGGGTTTTAGCTTTCTTTCCGCCATGCGGCTCCATTTACTTTTGAAACTTTAAACACGTATTTCTTGAAGTAGTAAGCACTTCACTATCCCACATGTCCTCCAATAACCCCTCAATTAAGGACTCAGGTGGAACACTACTAGTAAGTATGGTAATTTTAACAAGGGGTTTCCCTCAGCGCATGTGTTAATCACACGCATGCTGGAACATTCGACTTCAAACTTGAGTTTTGTTTTTAACAGAATTTTCATACTAATCTTTGATCTTCGTTCTGTTTCAGATGGCCGGGAACCAACAGAAATACAGCGAAGGAAGAAACGAGGCGTTGAATTTTTTTCATAATATCAACTCCGCCGAACATTATGCATCATGAGTCCACCGTTTTCCTAGCTATCACTGACTGCTTAGGTACTTAATTCAATCGGAAATACCTTACATTAATTGAATTGTTTGGAGGGTTAATGCGAGTCAATTTATTACTCTAGTCTTAAAATAGTTGCGCATGGGTCAGCCATTGACCATGGTCCTTTTTACAGCTGAATGCTCCAGGCAAGCACTGGATAGTATTTGAAAAGCAGAAGACATTGCGAGAACGTGGAACGTTCTCTGAGAAACTTTCAGAATGGTTTGCTTCAGATTTGCTAACTGAGATGGAGGCATTCCTTGATACTTTGTCGCCTCTCTGACGTAAGGGCGTATCTCGATTTCCATGTGAGCCCTATTTTCCATATAAATCCATGCTATTAAGGGCTCACGTGGGAATTGAGATACGCCCTTACGTCAGAGAGGCGACCATTTGTCATCTGTGCTGCCGCGCTAAGAATGAACGTCATATAAACCGTTAAACGTTGCAAATTTCCTTTGTCAAGTCATGAATATCCGGGAATATTTGTGAATACTTTTCTCTCAATTTATCAGCAAATTTTGTTCGTAATTTTATCTGAAGTTCCTCACAATTTCGATGAAAAATATTCATAACTCACCTCAGAAATGAAAATTTTATCGGAGGAAATTGGGCAACTCTCTAATGTTCATACGGCGTTTTTCCTTAGCCCGGCAGTGTGCGCAAGGGACTTTAACGAGCGCGTAAGAACGACAACTGCGTGCGAAAGGAAGATTAAGATACAAGTATAAAGTCATTGATCGCTTGGGTAAACAGTTATTTCAGTCATTCGGGGTATCCCATGAAATGAAGCCACTGCAAAAGCACTCAATTGTCTGTATAGCATTCAATTCGTGTGCAGATTAAGCGAGGAGGAATAACAGAAAGTATTAAGGATCCACCCACCTGTATTAAATCCGACGCGGCTTAACTGCTTACAGTGGCGTGGCGTGAACAATCGATTATCGATATTTCCCCATTTTAAGCTATAGTAAAGAATCGATTATGAAGGTGTTCGTTGGGAACATCCTGTATATCGATTCTCTTCCATAGGTTTAAATGGCAGATCAATCGATATATCGCAAAACACCCCTCGCCACTGCTACTTAACCACTCTCGTGCCTCAGTGGTCGGTTTATCTTGGATTTGATGGATTCTCCCGTTCTTTATTTCATGCAGGTCGATTGTTTAATCTTTCGCGAATGTATGATCGATATATAGCATTGTTAAGATAGGGAGTTATCGATCAAGGTCATTCGATAACGATTCAACGATCGACCCACTGCTATTCTTACAGATCGTGTCTTGAAAGCAAGGAGCCTCTCTATTCTGCTCTGCTAAGGAAGAACGCCGGATGAACATTCGGGAGTTGTCGAATTTCCCCAGTTAAAACACGTATTTCTGAGGAAAGTTATGCATATTTTCCTTTGAAATTTTCAGATGTCTTAAGTATATTAAATACTGAACTGAATTGTCTGATATTTAAAGGAAAACATCGACAATTTTCCCAGTAAACTCGTTTTTTGTCAAAGGAAATATGGCAACTTCTGGATGCTTATACGGTGTTCTTCCTTAGCTCGTCAGTATTGACATGAAACTATATACCCTCGTGCAATACACAGATGCCCCAGCTTCATGAAATTTATTTTATTTTAGCCAAGATATATTAGTCAAGTCTAAATATTATAGCCAAGAACCATCTAATGATAAAGTAGCGAAACACTACGCTGGAAAAAAAACACATTGGATCTAGAGTCCAGACTCTTAAAAACATCGACAAGAAAAAATACTCTCGATTTAATCAGATTTAAGCTTGAATCAAGAACCAAGCCTCTTAATTTGAGCGGATTTCCTTTTGATTTAAGCTTAAATCTGATTGAATCAAGAGTCCTTTTTTTTGCCAATGTTTTCAAGAGTCTGGACTCTAGATCCAATGTGGTTTTTTCCAGTATGTGGAAGCTGTTGAATGGTAATATTGCCTTGCTAAGGAAAAACGCAGTGTGAACATTCGAGAGTTGCCAGATTTCCCCGAAAAAACGTGTATCTTCGGGAAAGTGATTCATATTTCTCCGATGTGTTTCAGATCTGACTCTGGGGAATGGAGTTGGACACGAGCATCTCCGTGGCGTCATCTTGCAGCAAACTGCCCCACTCACAGTCCACCCCCGCCGGGGTCGACGGAGGGACCAGAACCCCGCCGACCCCCCCGATGACCCCCAAGAAGGGCGGCAAGATCCTTGCCGTCCGAGTTCAAATGTTGAATGACAACATCACCATCTTCCAAGTTCAGGTGAGCTCCGCATTCCATCCATGCGTCCGCCGTTCTTTGCTCTCATTTTTCGTTGTGAACATTCTTTGCGTATAACCAGGGTGTCTACAAGTCCGGAATTTCCGGAAAGTCTGGAAATAGTCCTGATTTTTTTTTCAGGGCGGTCCGAAAGTACAAAAAAGTGCGGTAATTCCGCAAAAATGTCCGGAATTATTTTTATTTCTTGTCATTTTTTTCGCAATTTCAAATTTTTGAAAATTTTCGAATTTCGTCAAATGGAGGTACTGAAAAAGTACGAAATTTTTCTGTTGGAAGAGGCAATGAATTTCTTGATAAGGTACTGAAAAAGTACTGTAAGAGTACTTATTTTTGATGAGCATGTTTTAGTAGACACCCTGGTAACTTATTACGCCAACTCGTCTCTTATGTTGTCATATTTTCAGGGATTCTCAGGAAGGGGGACGTTTTTAGGGGTCGAAATCGGCCCCACCTTGGGTTTTTGTAACTCCTTGGGTTTTTTTCACGATTTAAGTTGAAGACTAGACCGCGAGGAAGGCTCTTCTCAGTTTCAGTGTTTCAGAATTTCGATGCCTGAAGTGCGGAACCAGTGGCGAGACGTGAATGATCGATTATCGATATTTCTCAATTCGAAGCTATCGTAAAGAATCGATTATTAAGGTGTTCGCTGCGAACACCCAGTGTATCGATTCTTTCCCATACGTTTAAATGGCGAATCAATCGATATATCGCAAAGCCTGCCACGCCACCGTGCGGAACCACGTATCTCCGTTTGCGACGTCGCAGACTTCCTATCATACTTTATTTTCTCTTTATGGAAAACTTGTCAATGTAATTACTTGAGAACTCCCTCGGTTTTTCCTCTTTGTTAGCGGTATATTCAGTATAAGTTTTAAGCTATGAAGTTGACTGCTTCTTTTCCAAAAAATGAAAGAGGAACGAAAATTTTGAAATACTGCATTGGAGATACATGGTTCCGCACTTTGGTCATTGATTTCCTTTTACGTGTCTCCTCATAACCGAAAAAGATTACTTGTAGAGAGGTGGAGAAACCGAACAGTTTCCTTAATTTAACAAAATCTCAAACTTAAGACCCGATAGTTTCCTTACAAAGTAATTCATTTTTGGTATAGATTCTGAAACACTTCAACGAGGAAGTGTTCTTCTCGCACCCAAGCCCTCAGTTAGTTTTTGCCGCCATCGAATCCATTCAGTGAGATGCACCGCTATAATCGAGAAATTTGAAAGCTCAAAGTGGTAATTATAGAGGACGATGAGTATCAGAGGTTTTTTCATCGATTTAATTACTTGTCTCGTACTGCAAGGAAACATAATGTACGAATGGGCCTGTTGCAAACTTTTGCTAGAGCAAAACTAAGAGTTGTTTCTTATAGATAATGCCTCAAAAATCACGATGAGCGCATCGGCAAACTCTGAAATGCACTCATAACTTCACAATCTGCGTAAGAAATTTGCGGTTTTTGAGCTTCCCGCTTCAAAAGCGATACTACGGCACAGGTGAACATTTTGTAAGAGGAGTCGTTCCATCGTCGGCAATAATCATCATGGCCGACGCCAATCCGCCGAAACACGTTTGATGGGACGAGATAACACCTGAACTGGATTAGACCAGATAACAATCGGTGTGTTAACGTTCATATTTTCCACGCCCGAATTGATTGACCTTGAACTCTCCTTGAATTACGCGCGGAACTGCGTGCAAGCGTCGGCCATGATGAATATCGCCGACGATGGAGCGACTCCTCTAACAAAATGTTCACCTACGCCGTAGTATCGTTTTTGAAGCGGGAAGCTTAAAAAAACGCAAATTTCTTACGCAGATTGTGAAGTTATGAGTGCATTTCAGACTTTGCTGATGCGCTCATCGTGATTTTCGAGGCATTATCTATAAGAAACAACTCTTATTTTTGCTCTAGCAAAAGTTTGCAACAGGCCCATTGTAGACTCACTCTGCATCATATCCTGGGGTGGTTAAAACGACATTCGTTTCCAAAAAGTGACGGAAAATGGCTATACTCGACATTCGGACCTATGTTTACAGCAAAATCTCTCTTTAAAAGGATCCGATAAGCGATGACCGGTCAAAATCAAATATTTATGTTCAATGTAGACGCTACTCAATCATAAAAACGCTTGAGATATAGAAATTCTGAGTGGTATCGATTTCGGCTCTTCACGAAATCCATTCTCTTTTTAAGCAGTGAAACTTGGCATGCACCTATGCTCGCTCTTGAACCGTGCCGTCGATGCATTCCGAAACGCCGAAATTTTATTGCCGACTTGAAGGTTTCACTCCACGCATTCGGAATCCTTTACCTCATTCTTATTTTATTCGTGTTTCATTTTCTGTCGACTTATTTGATCAAACTTGAATTGAATGACTAATGGAGCCTTCGTGCGTCGGTGAGAACACCTAAAATTATTGATTTATTCAGAAGCTGCATGCTCCTTCATTTTGAGAGGTATGCAATTTTAGCCACAGTGAAGTTGAAATACAGTGGATATCGGATATAACGACATATCGGGTATAACGACGTAAACTGGTCGGTCCCGGCTGAAATCCCATTCATTCAATGTATTTATGTATCGGTTATAACGACATCGCATATAACGACATATCGGTCATAGCGACGGAGTTTTCGCGTCCCAATAGATGTGGTGATCGGTTATAACGACCTGAGCGACAGCAACAGAGAACAGAGGCCGAAGAGGAGAGGATCTCGTTTCCAGACGCCCTAGAAGCCATCACAACTGTTCAAAAATTCCTAATTTTGAACCCAGAATGGAACGATTCCACTTTATCACACTTTACGCTCGGCCCATAGAGCGTTACAAAAAGGGTACCCGAAAACAAAATTGTGAAGCAAAAAAAAATCACGGACTATTATTCAAATTAGAAGTGTTATACTTCTTCGGTATTGCGCATATGTAGTACAAACATAATGTAGTTTGTAGTGCATGTAATCTCAATATTATAAAATACCTTGTTTTTACAAATTCAAACAAAGTGTTTTAATTAAAATAAGTCCTAGAATACAAAAATAAATGAATTAAATAAATATTCAATTCAAATAAAATTAGATAAAGCTAATAAACAAAGGTGTTACTGAAGAGATAATGAATCAGCAGAAAAATTCACCGGGCCCTGGAATCCCACCTACAGCACAGCCTTGTAATTGTATCAAGCCTTGTGCCTTCAGTGTTACAGTTTTACTGAGCGTTTTTGAAAAACGCTCATTCGTTTATCGAAATCATTTGTCGTTTAATTGATACAATTTTTCTTACCCCTCCCCCCCCTTTTCTGCTGCGCAATATTCTAGCAAAATTCGTTCGATATCTCGACATTTGCTCCCTGCTGCATTAGATTCATTTTCAAGTGGATCTTCAGCTTTTGCGCAATCGATATTATCCAAATTTTAACCATTCGGTGAATTATTTTGGTAAAATAAAAATTCCAGTCTATATACCAATCATCAAGGAATGTGCGTTCCGAGAATCACCTTTAAAATCTCAAAATAAAATTAAAAGTATCAGTCTCCATTTTGCAACCGCTTTCAATGTGTCGACATCGATGGTCAATTTAAAACAGTACTTTCGAGTTTGTTTTTAAGAGTTAGGAAGACGATTTTCGGCACGATCATTCCTCAGTGATTCACCTACATACTGAAATCTCGATTTCACCAAAACAACCCACTAAATGGCTAAAACTTGAATAATATCGATCGTTCCCAGAATGCAATGCGCAAGATCTGAAGATCCACATTAAGCCCTGAATCCGGGCTCGAATATCGATTTGACGCTGTTTCTCAGTTCTCGGTGGGCTGTGCTGCCATGATAGCAAAGAGAGCAATGTCATATTTTCGAAATCAAGTTTCCTTCAAAATTCGTCTGATCTCTTTCAGTTGAAAGTACTGAAATCGCTAAATCAGCTAAGTTCATCTTATTTGTCTAAAAATGAGACTTATGAGAAAGCCGTAATGGCGCAAAAAATGACGTTGTTTCAGGCAAGACAGCAGTAGGTGACATTATTCTTCCAGAGAGTCGATGATAACAGTGCTTTCAATTAAAGTGCCGTCCTCCTCTGCCAATTTCTAACCGGGGAATGGGTTTGTTGTGTGTCCAAAACGCAACCACGAAAGCATGCCGAAGATAGCACTTACGGCCGTCTTGCCTAACATTATAGCCTATCGTGAAAATGAAAAATATTTTAAAATATCCTTTTTATGTAATTGAAATAAAATCGGTCGATTTTTAATCATCCGAACGATTTCTAAGAGTTTTTCGGATGATTAGTGGCAATTTGACAAAAAACCGAGGCTTCTTTCCATACAATTTTCCAGTCAGACGTTTCTGATCCCGTTTTCTCAAAACTTCACTTTTGCACTTACTGCTCTCTTCGCTATCACGGCATGCAGTGTGGTTCCCCGTGTCGTTCACCGTCGCGCATATTCGATGCAAATATTCGCGCCGAGGGAGGGAAGTCTCACTCGAACACGAGTGCCGATGCATAATTGACTAAGGTCAAGGCAAGGCAGTCGATGTTCAGACTGCTCGCCGGATTATATTTCTGCCTTGCTGAGGAAGAACGCCGCATGAGCCGCCAGACGTTGCCGAATTTCCTTTGATAAAACATGGATTTTCAGGGAATTCTGTGAACAATTTTCACAGAATTTTTTGGGGAATTCGATTCGAGACCAGAGCTATATCATCTGAAAATTTCAAGAGAAAATATTGGTAACTCTCCTCAAAAATAAACATTTTATAGGAGGAAATTTGGCAACTCTAGAATGTTCTTAAGGCGTTTTTCCTTAGCTTGGCAGGTTTCCCCTTGGACTTGTCCTCGGTGCCGCTGTGCGTTTTCGATGCACCTTAATAATTAATTTAACTTATTTTCCGTTCGTTTCCTTCGTAGCCTTTTGCTAGCGCGCGCCCCCCCCCCCCCCCCCCCCCCCCCCCNGACCCCCCTCTTCCGATTTTTTCGCGTGACCGTACGTAGAGTCTTTTCTATTTTTTGTGGTCGGCGCTGGACGTGGTCGAAGAGCTAGCGTCACGATTTTATGTGCCGTGTAGAGGAAAATCGCCCTAAGAATAATCAGACGTTGCCAATGCACTTCCCATGAAATGCGAAGTTTTAAAGCTGGAACTCGTTTGGGGGGACGCACCTGTCATGGGATTTTTCTTTATTTGTTCCTACTATTAAACAAAGAAATCTAGGTAAAAAAATAAACTTCGCGGCTCAACTCATTGAAAAATAAGCACTGATAACAAAGTAAATAAATATGGATGAAAAAGAAATCAAAGAAAAATGAAAAAAATGAACGAACGAAAATTTATCTACCCTATCTCAATTCGTTTTTTAAATTCTTTCTTCATTTGATTATTTTTTATTTAATTTAGTATTTTTATCCGTGCTTATTTATTCATAGTTTTAATTGTCTTTTTCTCCTCGTTTTATTTCTCTTTTCTTTTCTTTTTTCTTCTGTTTTCATCTTCAAAAAATTACCTCTTTTCTCTTGAAATGTACAAGAATCCAGCCGGAACATTTTTTCGACGCAGTCAGCGGGACTCTTCTTGTTCTCCTTAATCAGCACTATTTTTAAGATATCGTCGAGACTAGGGAGGTGTTCTACATGACAACACGATCGCAAAAACGTTCTGAACAATGGTTTCATATAGACGTTTGAAAATTCCTCTGTATGGATATTTAACTATTATCAAAATTATGGTCAACAATTAAAAGAAATATCTAATCCTTGCAAATTTAGAATAACAGCAACCTCACAAATTCACAATATCTTACTCTATATCAAGAATATAAAATCATGGAGTAACGCATAACGCTCGAAGCGCGGTAGCCCCCTAGTTTTTTAAATATTTTCAAAGCATTTAAGGAACGTTCTTGGTTTCATCGGGTGAAGGGCCCCCTCAAAAAAAAAAAAAAAAAAAAAAAAAAAAAAAAAAAAAAAAAAAAAAAAAAAAAAAAAAANAAAAAAAAAAAAAAAAAAAAAAAAAAACTTTCCAACGTCTTTCCACTGTCGGTCTCGGTCTTGGGGCCATTGTGTTAGGAGTGAAGCGAGGGGACAGCCCGGATACAATCGGGGGACACGTTCGAACGTGGTCGCGTCGCGTGTTGGACGAGCGCCATTAGTCATCTTGATGATGTGCCGCGCCGCAAGCCCNGAGAACCCCCCTTCTTCCTTTGCTCATGTCCTAGAACAATGGGAAATCGATGCCGGTCCAGGCCGTCCCAATGCGGATTGTGGACACTTACATTGCTCCACCAAAGTCAGCCCTAGCCCTCACCCACCCTCTGAAGTCAATTCCTCGAACTTGAGCTCGTGCTCATTGCAGTGTCAAAATTTTGATCCTGCAAGCAAATAAAAATCCACGGAAGATTCTTATTTTATTTTTTATTTTTTAAGCGCGGTGGTTAAGCATTGCGGCGGCAACCCTCACTAGCTCCTATAACGGAGCTCTTGCATGTGTGGGAGATTTGCGATACAAGCAATTTTTCTCGCGTATTTCGCAAGAAACACGATGGTGCCACTGGTTTTCTCTGGAATGAACGAACTCCCAAGTCTCAAGAACAGCTATCTAATTAGAATAGCTCTCTAATTAGAACAGCTCAAGTGTTGAGGCCGTACTTGAGGGAATATGCCACGCTACGCTACCCTGAGAGTCCACCTCTACATCTAGTCAAACTCTCCATGCAAAGATGACGGCAACCCTGCTAATGTATTTGCTCCTCCCTATCTTTGCATGGAGAGTTTGACCAGATGTAGAGGTGGACTCTCAGGACAGCGGGAGATATCCCCTCCAACACGGCCTCAACTTTGAGAGCTTTTTTTGAGCTTTGGAGTTCGGTCCAGAGAAAACCAGTGGCACCATCGTGTCTCTCGTGAAATTTTACGGAAGAAGAAGTCTTTAATCGAAAATCGGGTTTATCGATCCTTTTCCATAGGTTTAAATTGCATAACAATCGATATATCGCAAAAGCACGCCACGCCAATGCTATTAACTCGGTCCAGTTTGCTCCGAAGCAGGGACTGGCTGCACGCAGTCAGTAGTCTCGATGTTCGAACTCAAGCGTGCGAGAGAGTGAATGAATACTCAAGTGCGGCCGCTTGAATACACAAGATGAATTGAAGAGTGAATGAATGAATGAATGAACGGATGACACAATCGATATGATGGCCAAGAGCCATGCCACTCGCAACCCGCGGCCGACGCGACAGCGCGGTTTGTGGGTTTACGGCTCTACGTGTACGTGACGGGCTAGCAACGTGGGTGGGGTGACGAACGGAAAATTGTCAAACCGAGAGGAATATCCTGCCGTGCTGAGGAAGAACGCCGTATGAGCCTTCAGACGTTGCCAAGTTTCCTCCGATAAAAGCCGAATTTACTGGGAAACTTGCAAATATTATTTTCTAAAATTTTCAGACAATTTTATACGCAATTTAATCTAAAATATTTGAAAATTTCAAGAATTCGTATGTGTCGCAGGCAATTGGCAATCGCCGGCAATTTAAAAGCCAGTGGTGAAAAAATTTAGAAAATTATAAAATTCAAAAAGAAAATAACAAGATAAGAGTGCTGATTATTTTGTCTATAATGTGAATAGACACTTTTCCATCCTTGAAACATGGCAGGAATGTGCACACTCAGAAGAGCGTGTAGTGAACTCCGTGACATTAGTTGGGTTGATATCGGACAGGCAACTAAACTAACATCGTGACATAGCGTAGAGTATCACAAAAAATGAAGGCGCTTCAAGCCGAGCTCATACTTTTGAAGACCATAACCCTTACAAATTGCATCATGCCGATGCACATTATTGGGATCTATTGAAACAACGCGTGAACCGCTTCTTAAATTGCCGGCGATTGCTAATTGCCTGCGACATATGCATAAATGTTGTCAAAAATACATGTTTTATCAGGGGAAATTTGGGAACTCTCGAATGTTCATACGGCGTTCTTCCTTAGCACGGCAGTATTCTCGACCATGCTTCGTCAGCACGTCATCACGTCGAGGTCATAGGAGAATCAGGGAGAAGGAAAACAGAGGAAAAGGGGTGGACAATACCTAAATGAAGGGCTTGGAGGAAAAGGCGCACAAGTGCAGGTTTTGAAAAAATTGAAATACTAATGATTTCAAGTGAAACTAGTCTTACACTTAATGCATATTCTGAGAAAAATTCGCTCCTAAATTCCAACAAAAACGATTTCCCTGGTAAAAAAAATAAAATTGCGGCGGAAATTCTTGAACGCGTAAATTTCTAATTTAAAATTTTAAATTTTTTGAACGAAAGGTGAAATTGAGGAGCTTGGAGGGCAAAGCGCATAAGTGCAGTTTTTGATCAAACTGAGAAATTAATAACTTCAAGTATGACCAGTCTTAATGCATATTATGTGAAAAATTCCTCCAAATTCCAATTTTCAAGCATCAAAAAGTCAGTTTGAATTTTCTTTCCGCCATAAGTAGCCATGCAATTTCGAAACTTCAAACACGGATTTCTCGAAATAGCAAAAATTGCACTTATGCGCCTTGTCCTCCAAGCCCCTCAAATATTAATGTTATCAAGAAATATATTCAATCATCATGATTCATAAAGTAATCGAGAGTGTCGTTTTGTTGCAGGCAAAAGCTTTGGGACGCGTCCTTTTTGACCAAGTATGCAAGCAGTTGAATCTTCTAGAGGCGGATTACTTTGGCCTTGAATACCTCGAAGGAAGCACTAGGGTGAGTATCGAGTTCAACCCTTCTTTTCTCTTCAGATTAGAAGAGTGTTGATTGAAGGCCTAGATACATTCGGCGATTAATCGCCGCGATTGAAAGTATCGAAATCAAGGATCTCCATTGGCTTCCGGCGATTAATCGCCATATGTATCGGAGGGTATGGATTCGATCGACATGAATCGATCGACACCGATTCGATCGACAACCGTGAATCAATCGACAAACCCGTGAATCGATCGACAAAAGCCGTGAATGGATCGACAAAAGCCGTGAGTCGATCGACAAACCCATGAATCGATCGACAAACCTGTGAATCGATCGACAAACCTGTGAATCGATCGACCAAAGCCGTGAATGGATCGACAAACCCGTGAATGGATCGACAAACCCGTGAGTCGATCGACAAACCCGTGAGTCGATCGAATCGGTGTCAATCGATTCACGACGATCGATTCTCGCTTTCATTTGTCGATCCATTCATGTCGATCGAATCGACACGGGTGTTTTTAAATTAACTGTCGATCGAATCGGTGTCGATCGATTCATCTCGATCGAATCACGCGTTAATTTTTCGATCGATTCATCTCGATCGAATCACGCGTTAATTTTTCGATCGATTCATGTCGATCGAATCAGCACCGGTCTCTTAATAATTTGTTCTTCGAATTGGTGCCAATCGATTCACGTTTTCATTTTTCAATTGATTCATGTCGATCGAATCCATACCCTCCGCATGTATCCAGGCCTTAAGTTATGGGTCTGGAAAAAGCATCAAGGTCTCATCAGTTAAAATGTAACTGTTGATTTTGCTGCGTATGTATTTTAATGAAAAGAAAATGAGAACACTTATACATACTTATACTTATACTTATTAGTTACACTCAAGCAAGACCTCCTGTTTGTTGACATAGGTATCTACCTTGGAACACAATGTATAAAATTAGTCGAAGGAGGGAAGGTAAAGGCCAATTTTGGGCCTTCCGTGAATTCCCTCAACTTTACAATTTTTATTTTTTTTCATCGGAGGTCTATATTTTTTGAAATATGATTTGGCTATTTTTGGACTCTTCCTGGAAACAGCAGTGGTGGAAACATGCGTCTAAGGGCCCAAAAACCCACATTTTTCGCCAAAATCAGCTCACATACTCTAACTGAAGCTACTGTTAAGCGCAAAAAGAATCCGAAATGACAAAATCATGATGCACTCTGTAAAATGTAGGCCTTTAATGAGAAAAAAATCGTAGAGCAGAGGAAATTCTGTTCCGATGGGCCCAAAAACGGGCTCTTATTGGTACCTTTCTTGAAGATACCAAAAATTAATAAGTATTATCCTAGCACTATTAATTTTCAATGCATTTTATCAGCGTTTTGCATCAACTGTCTAATATTAAATCGTCTCTATCGGGTCAAAGTAGTACAAGCGCCACCTGACATTTCAAAATTTCCGCTGACATTTTATTTTTTTACAGAGAAATTGTCAAACGAAGCTGTCCGAAAATTTCACTGAATTTTCTTTGTGCTGCTGATAAAGTTCAGTGAAATTTTCAAAGAGACTCAACCAATAATTTCTCTGTAAAATAATAAAACGGCGGCTGAAATTTTGAAACGCCGCATGGCACTTGTGATACTTTGGCTCGGAGGTGACAAAATTTAATGCTTTTTCGATTAAATTCAAACAAATCAAGAAAAAGAGAAGAAAAATTTTGTATTCTCAAAATAGGGGTTATTACAAGGGTCCAATAGTAACATGCAAAGGAAGGGGGAAATATAACCTCAATTGACGATTCTTATAATTATGTTTCCATGCTCTAAATTTTCATTACCTTTTTTCCCCCTTTTAGTACTGGTTGGACCTGGAAAAACCAATGCATAGGCAAGTGGGTCTAACATTGGTGGACCCCCTGGTCTTTTTTTGTGTAAAATTTTACACACCGGATCCTTCACAGCTCGAGGAGGAGTACACGCGATACCTATTCTGCCTTCAAATCAAGCGGGACCTTGCTCAAGGGCATTTGCAGTGTAATGATAACACTGCAGCCCTAATGGCCTCCTATATTGTTCAAGGTATGCGCTTCTTTCAGTTTTATACACCCCAACTTAACAAGAACTGATGCTGAATGATTAATGGTCATATATATCACTGGCGTGGCGTGCTTTGCGATATATCGATTGATCGGTCATTTAAACCTATGGAAAAGGATCGATTTACAGGGTGTTCGCAACAAACACATTAATAATCGATTTCATACCATAGCTTCAAATGAGGAAATATCGATAAACAATCATTCACGCCACGCCACTGATATATATATATTCGTTAAATTTTTCTATTCCTTCTCTGCGCTAAGGAAGCCGACTGTACAAGTTGTGAAAGTGACCAAATTTCCATACTTAAAATATTTATTTTTTCATAAAATAAAAAAATGTTCCTTTAAATCCTCAGAAACTTTGAAATGGCTCACTAATTTCCCAGAAAATTCAATTTTTTTTCAGAGAGAATGCGGCAACATCCAAATATTTATGGAATGTTTTTCTGTAAAAATTGGCATTATGAAATTGTAATTTGATTAGATCTTTTAGAGCGAACTTTTATTTAAGATTTTCAGCACATCTTAAAATACAGAATTTTTAAAACATTGATGTTTAAATAATAGAGGAGCAAACCACAAGAAAAGTTCGTAGTTTTGATGATATCTTACATTCAAAGCATTGAAAACTCAAGACCTCTCGGTCGAAAACATACAAGACTTCATAAATAATCAAAATTTGACTATCTGCCATCTGATTAGACCATTCGCCTGCAACAGGTAGAAGCTATCAATAGAAATTTATCAATGTGGTGAAATAATTTTCTAATGTTTTTAATTTATTATAGCGGACTGTGGAGATTATGTTGCAGAAGACTATCCAGATCACACATATCTATCTACATATAAATTTGTTCCTCATCAAGACCAAGAACTTGAAAGGAGGATTATGGAAAATCATAAAAAACATGTGTAAGTTACAGTCAGTTTACAAACAATATTAGTGGCTAATTCTGATATGAATACTGTAGGTATTATCGCCTTTTAAGCTTGTAGTGTAAAACTTGTTTGAAATGAATCAGTAAACTGAATTGTTACGTTCAACTTTGGTAGCAATTTTGGCACAGCTCTTAAATTTGTAATCTTCTGCAGAAAGGAACATATCTTGGCGATGCTGTCTCTGTATTTCTATGAAAATTTTATCTTTTCATGGGAGATCGGTAACAAGAATTAATGCGAAAATGTGTGTGTGTGTGTCTCCTCATAATGACCAAGAAAAATCATCTAAAATGTCAAAGAAATTCATATGATGATTCCTATGTACAAATAAAAGTTATGTAAGGAACACTGGACCAGTGCAACTGAAATATGTTCCTTCAAGTCAAGAGGGAGACAACGAATTGTAATCTCTCCTCTCTAAACTCTAGCCTTATTTATGGCAAAATAACAGCATTGGAGGGTTAAATCTGAATAAAGAGCTGAAACAGCCCAGGACTTAAATGTAGGCGCCCCTAGATTCATTTGCATAGGTCCTAGATTCCTAGAAATGATCACCTTTTTTACAAAATCATTGGTTCTTCTGACTCAAACAGTGTTGTAAGAGCACCCATTTTCTTAGTCATCGTTTCAGTGAATGTCTTAATTTTTAATCATAATTTTGTTTTTTTTAAACAGAGGCCAATCACCTGCAGAAGCTGACTTAAATTTATTAGAAACTGCTCGAAGGTGTGAATTGTATGGAATGAAAATGCACCCTGCAAAAGTGAGTAAAAATGTGTTGTTTCTTCCAGCATACAGCAAGCTCCAGGGGTGTAAAAAGTGCTCAATAACACACCTGGGGCCTGGGCAGGCGCCTAAAAATGCAGAAAGACCCCTGAAAATATGAGAAAACGTAAAGTTTTAAGGGCGGACAGTTGAAATTCCAAGGAATTAAGAAGAAAAAAGTTCCTACCTAAGAAATTGTTGGGAAATTTTGTGGAAAGCTGATGATTGAAGTGAGGATAGCTGGCGGGCTGGTGCGTGAAAATGTTCAAGCTGCAAACATTCTACACCCTTTACAAGCTTTAATTTGCATTTTATCAGACCTGTCAATGTAACTCAAGTCCTAACTTGTAGTTGAGAACGAAGTCATAATTATGATCATAAATAAAGCACATAGTAAAAATAGTATTGTTACGCCCGGAGTTGCTGTATAATCGATTTCCACTTTTAGTGTACTAATCGCCGAAGCGTAATTTTCCAAGTCTTGTGGGCTTCCATCTAAAATTTTGATCTAAAATTTCAATATTAGTGTTTGTCAAAACTAAACCGGGTAAGAAATTAAGCCCTTCAGCACACACTCTCTCATTATACTGACACACAAACGGGGTTAAAAATATCTGGAACTTCTGTAACCGAACTCATAAGTGAGGAATAATGTTTGTAGTTTATGTTGTGAAGGACCGTTATTTTCTTAATTATGAGTTTAAATTAACAAGCTTTATTGCGTCCATCGTTTTTTACTTGAAATTTTTAGAAGGAAACGCATACAGTGGTGTTCATTTTTGTACCCCAATTTTTGGTCCATCGATTTTCAGATGAAAAATAATCAATCAGCCACCCTCAACGGTCGAAGATTTTTTAGTATTTAATAAAAATTGACCTCCTAAGTGGAAGAGGTGATTATTTTTCCCTGTTTTTTTCTAATACTTAGTTTGAATATGTTTCTGTTTCAGGATCACGAAGGGGTTCCTCTTAACTTGGCTGTCGCTCATATGGGCATTGTTGTTTTCCAGAATTATACCAAAATTAATACGTTTTCTTGGGCCAAAATTAGAAAAATTAGTTTTAAACGGAAGCGATTTTTGGTCAAGTTGCATCCAGAAGGATATGTAAGCATTTTTTGTCCCTTTTTATATTATTTTTTGTTCTGAAGGAACATGATATCATATTCTATGTCATATAGTTGAGTTAATATTAAAACTGCTCTGTCTTCTTTTCACCTGGAATTATTTATCCATTTTTAGAAGGCCCTCTGTGCACAGAATGGCTCAGTATCAAGCTCGCATCAGAATACACACGGTGCTTTATGTATACAAGATTTCATGCATACTAACCAAAATCTCTTATTTTGTCATTCGCCAGACTCTATTATGTATTAGTTAAAGAACAGTTTTTTCAAGGCTTTGTCATCTGTAAATTAATTTAATGCTGTGAAAAATTTCTGTTGCAGGGTTTTTATAAAGATGTAGTAGAATTCTTTTTTGAAAATCGTAATGATTGTAAGAATCTATGGAAAAAGTGTGTCGAGAATCATGGATTCTTTAGGTGTACAACTGTTAAACCAATTCCTAGACAACGAACAAGAGTTTTAAGTCGAGGCTCTTCTTTCAGGTAAGTTTACTTATTCAGTATTTACTTTTCAGTTTACTTACTTTTGTAAATTTACTTAAAATAATATTAATCCTTTAATTTCTTCTGTCTAAACTTGTCAAAAAAATTTCTAGCTGGAACCCTCTCTTAGACTCTCTTTTGGTGACTCTTTCAGATCAGGTCAGGTCAATTCTATTGCCCAGCTTGATCAGGGCATGAAACGCTCTCTAATTATCTTAACATTTTGCCCCTTTACAAGGAAGATACAGGACCATCTCATCAATGTTCACTGACTTTATTTTTTTATTTCTTTGTATTCAGAGTATATATCACTTTTTCAGTGAATGCTCCAAATGATTTGCATCTGTTCCAATAATTAAGGCTCCTTAAATTTTAGAAAGAGTATGATGGTAATTTTGAAATTTTTCTTGGAGTTTTATGGTACCAACCATTTGAAAGTTTCTTGCAGTTTCAATTCATCACACTACATGCTCAGTTCTAAGAGCTATCCCGTGAAAACATGATTTAAGTCTAGAAACTGAATAAGAATGTTAGTGTTAGTCCATTTTAGCAGGGAACAAAAAGTGATAATGAGGAAAGTCTGAAACAGCTTATCTCCATTGTGATGTATCAAAATTTCTGTTATTGTTTTTGAAGAGAAACAATCCATTTTTTAGCTCGAAATTAATGCTGAATATCTTGCTTGGAGCATAGATAAATCAAGAAAGTTTTCCAAAAATTACATTAATTAGTTTTCCGAAGAAAAAATTAAATACTACTCTAAGACCGCAATATTGTAAACGGAGATACGTCGGTTTGTGTTTCGGCCATCGATATGTTGAAGGGTACAATGAAGAATAATTTTTCTTCATATCCAGTCTTGTATTCTTGCTTTCTTTACTCTAGTATATTTTAGATTTTGCATTTTCGAAATTTTTAACCCTTGTTTTCTGTTTTCTCAGGTATAGCGGAAAAACTCAGAAACAAGTTATCGAATACGTTAGAGAAAACTATGTCAAAAGGCAAACGTTCAAGAGGTAAATTCTTATGACTCTCATCTAGCTATTATCTTCACAACATACAGTTCTCCTCCTGAACCCAGAGTGTAATGTAGTCTTGGTATTGTAGTTGATGCTTTCATAAATTATGCAGAAGTTTGTGTAAAAAGCTTAATCACCATACAAAACGACCATTACAAGGATATCTGAAGATGGCAATTTTGCTCTCAGGTTTGCATGTAAGCATTCTCTCTTTGCAAACAAGGATTTTCATACTTGCACTCTTTATTGGCATTTCATCCTTTTAAATTCCTCGTGATTGTGCAAGATAGCTCCAAGATAAAATCTCTTTTTCAGTTTTTCATTTATTTCTTTAAGTTCAATTTTTACGATCATGTAAATCTGCAGCGTCCAGATCTTTCTTGGAAGCACACAATTAGAAATAATGCTTGATGCCTGCTCAATGCAGATTTAGACCGAACCTGGAATACGGCAATGGCAAGGAATTTTTGCAGGGTCGTATATTATGCAACATTTTGTGAATAAACCTGAAAGTTCATTGAAAAGCTCAATGAAGCATTTCTAAGGGAAAAAGAGCTAATCAAAATCCGACCAATGAAAAGCCGGCAGTGATGTAGGAACGCGGTGCCTAAAGCCAAGTTCAGCCAATCAGCAAACGTCATTTCCCCTACATGGCTATGTTATCAGAGCTTGCCAATAATATCATTTTAAACGAGTCCCATTTTTCGGCATTTTTAAAAGGGGGTCTCTTTGCCATTTAGGGTTAAAACAAATCTGGAAAATTTCTAGAAGAGATTACTTGGTACTTTCAAAAATGGCCTTTAAAAATGGGTGCCATTGACTCGATAAAATTTCCTTGCCAAAATTTTTCTAGCAATACCTGCTCTTCTTGTACAGTTTCCTCGTATTGATTAGTTTGATTCTCTTTTAGTCACCACAATACCTATCTCTTCTTGAATTGCATTCGATGACCAATAATTTTTGTTGATTTCTCTTATGGTTTATTTACCTCTTCTTCTGTTCGTGTGAGAGTTCAGTTTTTCAATTTAAAATTGATTTTCTTTGAAACGGTTTTTCTATGATTTCAATATTTTTCATTTATTTATTTCATTTTTATATTTGTTATTTTATTTTCTGTTAATTGCCATATCCAATTTGTTCAAGTAAATTTAATTAATTTTTCCCTGACGTTAAATATTTTTACTCAAATACTTATCGGGTTATTTTCAATACCTTTGTTCTGAACCCTAATCAACTAGACTTACAAAATACAAATATATACCCAGAAATTTTGCGCTCCAACATTAAATTTAGTGTCTATGGTTCCTATCAATAACTTCTGGATACAAGTAACTTTTGACCTTCCATGGCCCACCCACCGCACTCAAGATTTATCATTTATTTTATGAACATGTGACTAGTACTATTTTCTTCCATAAAAAAAGAGAAAGAAAAATCTACAGAGTCCTTTTTATCTTCTCTCCATTGTGAAATCTGTGACAAGTGTTGAACTTTAAAACATTGCTGTGTCAGCATTTTTGCATTTTTATCATTATGAAAATTGATTGTAAATTTATATCCATGAGATTGGTTAGATTTGGAAGTGTATGGGGACCTCTAATGAAAATACATCCCCAATTTAAAATTCAACCCTTGAAGTTCGTAATTCAAATTGAGTTACCTAAAAAAGTGTTAATGCTTCCTTAATTTGTAAGTACTTGAGGACTGAACAAATTTTTACGCAGTCAAAATTTGGGTATTTTCTAGAATACAGTCACGCAAGACCTATTTATGAAGCTTGATTTGTGAAGGGGTTTGTCGTTTCTGTTTTTAGGTCACAGTCATTCAGGCAATCCAGCTCAGTTCATTCGAGTGTAGCTAATGTGGGAGGCTCAATATCGGCCCATCCTCTCTTGCCCCTTGGAGACAGTGCAGTAGGTAGGTTGTCGTTAAAGTTACTATTTTGTATCTGATCAGAAAAAAAAAAAAAAATACTCGGGCATTCTTGTTCAAAAAGTGTGCCTCCAATTTGCTTAATGAGGAGTTAAAGCAATAAGTGTTTGAAATAGATTTTTTAAACCTTTTGGGTTTGTTTTATATATTTTTAGTGTATTTTCTGGAAAAAAAAATTATTTTCTTTATTATTCTATTTTTGTTTTGTTCAATTTTGTTTTACGTCTTTTGTTTTTTTCTTTTTTCTTTTTTCTTTTATTCAGGTTTTATGTCTCCTGTTAACTTTTAAATAGTTACACCCGCTCAATTATTCTTATTATATCTTTATTATTTTTGTTTATTAACCTGTCAGACTGGCAAAATTAGTTTTACCGTTTTAGTCCAACTGCATTGCGCTCATGTCTGCTGTCACTCTCTAAATGAATAGAAAAGAAATCTTAAATATTTTTTCTCTCATTAGCTCTACACATTGCAAATCGTGAATGCCTCTTGTTTCCATCCACTTTTGTAGACTGTAATTTAGCTATTATGTAGTTTTTTTCTAATTTATGTGCTTTTTTTGTATCTTTGTCTAGACTTTAATTTCTTTTGCTAAAGGTAGATTTTGCTAACTCCTTCTGTATATGAATGAATTTTGATGATATTTTGCTATGTCTTCTTACATGTGCATAGTTACTAATTTTAACATTGATCAATTTTTTAGCCTAGTTTTAGGATCTGAATCAGTTAAACTGTCGTGCAAACTGATTATTTTTGCATCAAAAACTCTAACCGATATGCAAAAACCGTATTGATCGATAAACAGCCCTCAATCACATCGGTAAATTACAAGTGCCCTGGGCCTCATGTTAGTTATTGCTGTAATGTTCCCAAAGCCACCACTACAGGAGCTGTGAGAGCCAATTATGTGACTTGTTGATGCTCTGTGTTTTGTTAATTATTTTTTGCCATGATGGCAACATGGCGCAGTTTACATTATTGATAAATAAGACCAAAGAATCACTACAGCCTTGGGTTTACGATCAATAAACTTTTTGTCCCTATTTTAATGATGCCTTTCTCGTTGTGAAAACATTCGAGCTGCAGATAACTCATACCCAAATCAAGTATTCGTATGCAGTCAACTCATTTATCATTTCAGTTTTTCATTTTTTTTTTTTTTCTCTCAAATTTTCTTTGCATGATTAAATCAGTGCACTTTATCTTGTCTTGCGTTTCATTCAATGTTTTGAGTTACATCACCAAATATTTTTAGGCTAACAGAATCACCTGAGTTCATATCCAAATCAAAATATGTCTGCTCTAAAGCAGCTATTCATCTTACACTATCCTCAGGAACCTCTCTAGGTTCTTTGAAATATTTTTGTGCGGTGAGAACTAACTTGACTCCTAAATTTCAACTTTTGGTGGATCAGAAAATGTCAGTTTTCAAAAATAGGAACTCAATTTTTTTTTTTTTTCCGATACTTTAAAAATGGTAGGAGTAAAGGCAAAACGAGTAAGCTTATTTGAAAAGTTTGCAATGTCAAATTAAATTTCATCATCAATTTTGTTATGTCTACCATTGTTCAATTAAAAGTCTTTCGGTATTTATGGATGAGCATGTGGTCTTCTAATAACTTTAGAATGAAAGTTTTGCCAGTAAAGTTAGCAAATTACTCTGAGCTAGACTTTGCAGGATTCTTGCAGCAGATTAAGATTTTAAGAATAGCCTTTCACTGTGCGAATATTATAGTAGTGTATATACTTTTTGTTTATACCTGTGCTAATGTTCCTGATTTCTCTTGGGCTGAAAATACTATCCGTGGAAGTCAAAGAACCGGCATCTTTACCTTGTTTTTCTCCTGACAGTGTTCAGAGGTTCACCCTGTCTGGTGTCTAATCTGAGAGACTGAAAATGAAAACGAAAGAAACTTATAAATGCCCCTAAATCTGCCTAGTGATGAGTTTGCTTTCAGAAAGACATTCAGTGTGTACGTTCCTCTCAAATACGAGTATTTACCTCTGTAAAAAGCTTATTTAAACTTATAAATTGTCAGGAAAGAAGTGAAAATAGAGAAACAGAGACAAAAGACTTTTACTACTGATGTTGTCTAGAATTTATGAGTGTAGTTCTCATTTCAAAGTTATGGAAGAGACTCTTTTGTGGAATAAGTATTTGAAGAGAAATTCTTGATTTTTTTAAGTTTTCTCATTTTATATTTGACTTTTAATCATTTATCATAGTGGTTGTGTATCTTAATTCATTAACAAGAATTTGTTTTAATGTATCAGTGTGCTTCATGCTTGATATCTTTACAACTTGCTGACCTTTTATATTTCATCACAATTTTCAGTCTCTGATTTGTTGTTAAAAATGCTTTGTTTAGCCGGTACGGGAGCCTCTCTCTCCTGCGGCTCGATGAGTTTGAGCGGAGCGGGGGAGAAGCATCTGGTGAACGCTGCGGAGGATTCTCTGAGCCCGATATCTCACCGCCGTCAGCTGGGCGGCGCCGCTACCAGTACACCCACGATTGGCAATCACGTTCAGACTCCTGGTCGGACGATGAAAGGCCACACTTCGGTGGACATCCATCCACCGTACACTCCACACACCCACGTCTCGGTGGTCGAGAAAGACCTGTCGACCTCTTCAGAGGTCACGTCAATCACGTCATCCAGCCCGCAGCACAGTTACACCATCATGGCGCAGGAATATCAAGGTCAGAGAACTTTGTACAAAACTATAACCCCCCGTTACATTCACAATACCTCTCCCACAGACCTCTATAACAATAACGATGTAAAATCCACCGTTGTTAAGTCTAATGCCAATAACAATGATGATTACTATTACCTTTTGTCCTCGCATTCAAGTGGGGGGTATAACCGCACAACAAATCGGTCTAGTCAGACAGATATTGTTGACCTCTCTCCTGAAGCAGAAGAGACGCATGACTTGAGATCTGCGCGGGAGAAGGAGTTTGATTATAATAACCGCTACACGTGGCAGAGGTCGACAAGTTGTAAGGAGCTGAATTCAGCCCGCAGGAAACGTGCGCAGGAATTAGACAGTGCAACATATGTCACTAACCCAAAAGAGTTGAACATCTTGTCTGAAAAGCACATTGATTCGCCAATAACACGCTATGACGAGACATCGAAGGCCCCGTATCAACCCATCAGCATCAAAACTCCATCATTGGAGAGGAGCGATACGGTTCCGGAAACGAAAGTCTATTCTAGTAGCTATCCTGGTACAACTTCTAGTCTATCCACCGAAAGTGGGGACCAAGAAGGCGGGCTTGAAGTTGGTGGTAGTGTTTTAATAATGGATATTGGCTCACACGAGAATCTTTTCTTGAGTCATGATGATGTGAGTCATGATTCCTATGAGCTTCTGGAGAGAGAGAGGGAGTACCAGGAAATGTTCGGTAGGGGATCTCATAGTGGTAGTTACGGGTCTGTAGAGAACTTGCAGGATGATGCAGATATCTTCCAAATGGACGATCTTCTGTCAAAATCAACGAATTCAATTTATGATGATGTAAGGTCGGAAATAGATAGTCGAATAGGGTTCCAGCCCAGCATGGGCTTCAATGAGTTTAATGAGCTATGCAAAGAAAACTTCCGGAAGAGTCATGAAAAGATTTATCGTGAGCAACTATCTGTTTACAGTAGGAACAGATCCAATGAGTTCAGAGAAATAAATGTCAAGGTCAAGCCTGGTGAGGTCATCAGTGGTTTTTCTAGCGAGTCCACCGGAACTTCACCGAGCATCCATCCTGCAGTAGAGAGGACAAAGAGCGATCCATATATGGCTCACGAAAAGTCCAAGCCTTCACCACCATCATCCATTTCCTCCAAAACAAACGTGTCGCAATTGAGCCTTGCGGACTCCGACACATTTAAGTGCCACTCGGCCACCGATATTCCGTACACCTTGCGCAAGCGTGCAGATATGAACGGAACATGCTCAAAACAAAAAGCCAAACCATTACTGAAAAGTAACTTAAACTTGAAAGACTCAGGGCTTTCACTGTCAGGGAATTTAGGTAGTATTGAGGATAATGACACCACTTTGAATATGTCCTCCTTTGAGTCACGGTCTCCTCAAGACTTTGGCTCTATCTGCAACGATAACTGTCTCCTGGATAGGAATTATCTTTCAATCGATGAGCCTCATCACCAAATTGTCAAGGTCAAAAGTGTTGATTCCGGTACAACGAAACCAGCCAAATCGATTCACAAAATCCATCAGTCTCGTAGCGCAGAAGGGATTAAGCACAAAAATAGTTCTTTTGAGAAACAGGACACAGCTGGCAATAAAATCAAAGTCATCAAAATTGATTCTGAAAAGTGTTCTTGTGACTCACGGAAAAATTCCACTGAATCTGCTGATGCTGCAGATGTGATAATTGTCGAGTATCGTGATACAAGGAGAAAGAAATTCGGGAAAAAAGGGAGTTCGTCGGATAATCAGGAAGGTAGGAGTAGAGGGAGCAGTGTTGAGTCGAAAGATCCTAAGTTGAGTCCAAGTCGGACAGCCAAAGGCTCACTCAGCAAATCCTCTAGCCCCAACAAACTAAGCCCTAATAAAACTAAACCGTCTTCCAGTCCAAAGGACCAACTGAGTCCCAAAGCTCTCAGTCCTAAGCAAAGCCCCAAACAATTAAGTCCGAAACAAACAAGCCCCAATCAATCCTCTAGTGATTTAAAACTGAGCCCCAGTACATGTAAAATTGTAAAAGCCAACTTGAAAATTAATACCCTCAGTCCTAAGTCAACGCCAAAAACTAGCCCAAAAACGTCTCCCAAACTGAGTCCAGAAGTGGAAATCGTACCCGCTAGGAAAAGGCCCTCCGATAAACCCGCCATTAAGCCAAAGCCCAAAGTGATTCCAAAGAAATCTGCTTCAGCAGGAAAGGATGTAGCTAAAGCTGCCGAAACAGAAAATAAGAACCTTCCAAAGGAAAAACTCAAAATCTCTGAGGAGACAGTTGAAGGAATCAAGAAAAATCTATTATCGCCAGAGTCTCCATGGAAAAAATTTTCAGATGTGAATGTCAGTGGAAAAGATAAACCTCCAGTGCTGTTTGGCAGATTGGGTTTGTCAGAAGGATCTGGATACTCCTCTAAAAATGAAGCCGTGTCACCCGGAGCATCACGTCGCGCTAAGTCTCTGGAAACCCCAATTGTAGCATTACATCGGCTGCCACCCATAACGTCATTTTCAAGTAAAGATGATACATTAGGTGATGATGATGATGAGAAAGTTGGTGCAGCAAAAACAAAAAAAGACAGCTCAAAAGCAACTGCAGAAACATTGAGAGAAGTTTCAGACAAATTAGCAGAAACTCAGGAAAAAAGTGCATCTCCAGTTTATGGCCAGAATGCCAAAGAAACGTTGAAAGAACTTCTGACACTAGTTGCATCGCCTGTCGATAAAATGTCTCCTACAGATTTGTCACCATCCCTGACTCCAGAGAGGAGGCAAAGCACCCGACAAGAGCGGTTGGACTCTTTCAAAAAGCTCAAAAATTTCTCGATCGATATTTGGGACTCTGGAGAGGTGGAAGCAATCACAAATGCCCGGCAAGCTGCAAATATTGATTTTGAACTTGGAGATGATGATGCATTTATTGAGGCTGATAAGACTCAAGAGCCAAAATCGGAAGTCTTGAAAACAGAAGAAGTAGAGACCGAGCCAGCTCAGGAAAATATAGAAAATGTAGCCGTTGAAAAAACTGTCACCAAATTGCCGAGCTTGGAAGACCAGATGGTACCGCAAATCAAACCAAAAGAAGGCCTCATTTTCAATTATGATCTTGATAATATAATGGTGGAAAATTACACATCAGAAGAACTTGAGCCTTTTCCAGTATTGGCTGAAACACTAAGTCCAGGTCTGAAGAACGAAGATGATCCAAAGGTAAGCCTGGATGATGGCACATCTGAAGGTACACAAGAAGTTGAAGTTTTGCCAGCCTTGCAAGATGTGGAAGTTGCTCAAGTAGTGGTAGACCATGCAGAAAAAGCTGTGCTTGAGGAACCAGAAAAAGGCAAATCGAAGAAAAACTCTCTTGAAGAGGAAGAAGTTTGGGTGTCAGTCGATGAATATTTAGAAGATGACAAAGAGAAGAGCTTTGGAGGGTATCAAGACGATAAAGATGATGACGTGACGCTCAAGACATCAGAGGAAGTTGAAGAAGTGGAGGAGACACAAAAACTAACCGAAGTCGAAGTTGAAATAACACCAGCATCTGAAGCACACGAAGCCTCAGAGAGCTCCGAAACCAAAGACATGAAGGAAGATTTGAAAGTCGATGATTTGGAAGTGAATCAAACGAATGCAGATGTAAACCAGATATTTGATGAACTACCATCGGTGGAGGAAGACTCAGTGTTTGATGCGCCGGATGCCCCGCCACCACCCCCAGCCATCGATTACATAATATCTGAAACTCCAGAAAATTTGCCAAGTGCCACGGAGCCTTCCACCTCTAATCTACCCGTTCCAGCGATCCCCCAAAAAAGGAGTTTCGACGATGAGCCCTCGACCTCGAGCTCTGGGGTGAGAGTGGGAGAGTCATCAACGTGGCGCCCATTTCCTTTGGAAAGCTCTGGTAGCTCCAGTTTAGAGGAAGGCTTATTCCCTCCGGACGATACAGGTCACTATGCGGATGAAGAGGGTGAAGATGGGAGCTCCAAAGATGATGATTTTCCAACCAACTTTAACTACCCTATTACAAGTGCTGAAATAATGTTGAGTGGAGGGTTTGGAGGTGGTGTATTCGGTTTGTCCCGAACGCTGTCGAGGATAAGCGAAAGGAGCACGACGTCAGAGCAGGACAGGTCTGACTTTGAAGATGAAATTTCGACAAAACAGTCATCGCATTCAATTTCTGAAGATGATGACTCGATTCTTTCCAGTGACAGGCCTCCTAGTGTGTCTACTGGCTCAGCCTCTGGATCTCAAGCAGATCTGGGTTATGATGATTTTCCTCCTCTGCCAGACTTACCGGAAGAGAAATCGCCCGATGATGAAAGTCTGGAAACAATCAAGATTCCCCCTCCATTTATCCCATCAAATTCGGAAGAAAACTGGCCATCGCCTCCTGCCTCACCTCCCGCTGCAACACCTGTCACTTCCCAGGTCGAGACTTTTTACATCAAAGCTGAGGAAGCTGCCAAGGTTAGCATCAAAGTGAAGCAAGAGGAGGGGGAGGACAGTTCGACAGAAGAAAACAAAACTCTGCAGGAGGAAGATATGCCACCATCCGTTTTTAGCGACTCGTTCACTCTGGTCGAAGAAAAACCTGAGCCTCCGCGGAAAAAACGGAACTCGGATGATACTTCGATCGGATTCACGACCTCTGATTGGTCTTCAAGCACGGGCACAACGGTCAAGCAACATTTCGGAATCGCCAAGAGTGATGACAGCTCTTTAGCCGGCGATTTCGGACTTTCACTTTCAACAGAAATGCTGGCTAGTGGCTCGAAATGCAGCTCACGGAAAAGTAGTGATGACACAACACCGGTACTCCACGTTTACTATCCGTTGAAACAACGCTCCTTTGATGATTATGACTCTCCGTACACCACGGAATCAGACGACACTGTTTCGCTGTCGGTCGCGAAACCCTCACCTCAGAAAACATTCCAGCAGTACTATTCAGCCTTCAACATCAGCCCCACCAAATCGCAAAGTAAGTTCCTCCCC